CAAATATGGTGATACATCTAGAAGTTTTCTTTTTGTTTTTGCATAGAATTGCTTTAGCTATTTTTGCCTTTTAGTTTCTACAATAAAGAGTTCAGTATTGTTCTTTCAAAGTCTGTAAAGAATTGTTTTGGAATTTTGATAGGAATCATGTGAATTTGTAGATTGCTTTTGCTAAGAAGGCCATTTTTATTATGTTAATCCTGGAGCATGGGCGAACTTCCCATCTTTTGATATCTTCTTCAGTTTCTTTCTTCAAAGGCTTGACAATCTTGCCATACAATTCTTTCACTTATTTGGTTAGAAATACTGCAAGATATATTAGTTGTGGCTATTTTGAAAGGTATTGTTTCCATGGTTTCTTTCTCAGCTCATTTGTTATTTGTATATAGAAGGGTTCCTGATTTTTTTCTTTTGTTTTGAATGAGTCTTGTATCTAGCCACTTTGCTGAAGGTGTTTATCAGCTGTAGGAGTTCTCTGGTAGAATTTTGGGGATTGCTTATGTATACTATCATATCATCTGGAAATAGAGGCACTTTAGCTTTTTCCTTTTTTTCCCCTTTATCCCTTTTAGCTCCTTTAGTTGTCTTATTGCTGTAGCTAGAACTTTACATCCTATATTGTGTACATGTGTAGAGGACAGCCTTGTCTTATCCTTGATTTTAGTGAAATTGCTTTGAGGTTTTCTTATATAATTCGATGTTGGCTGTATATAGTCTTGCTGCAAATTATCTTCATTTTGTTTATGTATATCCCTGTATTCCTGACCTTTCCAACACTTTAAACATGAAGATGTGTTGGATTGATTCAAAAGCTTTTCAGATCATGTGGTTCCCCCCCCACCCAGTAGGCTTACATGGTAGATTACATTGACAGATTTCTGTATGTTGAATTACCCCTGGGATGAAGCCTACCTGGTCATGATCAATAATCATTTTCCCCGATTAATCGATTAACTTATTTATTCACTTAAATTTCTGATTGCACTCCTCCTCCTTCTCCTCCTCCCAGTGTTCCCATCACATGACCTCTTCCCTTATCTCCCTTTCCCTTCACCTCTTCGAAGAGAGAGGTCCCTTTTGTGGAACCAACCCACCATAGCACCTCAAGTCATTGCAGGACTAGGCATATCCTTTCCCACTGAAGCCAGACAAGAGAGCCCAGCTAGGGGAGTGGGTTCTGTTGAGTCTGAGAGTTGCTCCACAAACCACATTAACTCCAAGACAGGGATGTTTTATTGAAGTCACACCCTAATTCTGATTGATCAGGACTATAGCTCAGAATTCAGGACTGAGTCATGGCAACAAACATCTTTTTCAGTCAGCTTATATAAAAAGCTCCCACAAAACCACAATGAGCTCACATGCAGGTGCAGGAAGTGCTGCTTATTGATAGGCTCTGACTCAAGTCATTTTAGTTCATATTGACACTTAATTTGATGAGTCCTACATAAAGCTTTGTGGAATTCCTTAAGTTTAATAAACTTCAGTGTAGGACCGTCAAAGATAGCCTGGTTATTGGTTGAACCAAGGCTAAAAACCCTGGTGACTTTAAAGGGATGGCAGATGTTTTGCTTGGTTCCCAAACACTAAGCTCCTGACAGGAGGTTGCAGCCCTTGATAGATTTGTGGCCATCAGTCATGTAAGGGCAATACCTCAAGCCCCTCCACGGGTAGAGCATGTGACCATAGGTCACAAACCAGATCTCCATCTTAATGATGTATCTAAAGGCCTGAAGGGCTTAGCCAATTAAGCTTTCCTACCTAGACACTCCTCCCTGCAAAAGGTATTTAACCTCATGTCCACCCTGAGAAGTGAGTACGGTTTTACTCATCCACTTTTCACCATAACAACACATGCCTTAAAACCATGCACTGTCCCTTTTCACTGGAATCCACCCTGGGGAGCCATAGAGAAGGGCCACAGGGCTTGTCTGCTCTGAAAGGCAGGATGCCAGAAGTTTTGACTTTGCTTACCCCACCCCCTTTTATCAGACCAACAAAACCAGAAACAACAGAAAGCATATAAACTCAGGGAAACAAAACAATTCCCTACTGACTGACTTTGATGTCAAGACAGAAACAAAGATAGAATTAAAGTCTTGCTAGAATCCAGTGAAAATGAATGCACCACTACTCGAATGTATGGGACATAATGAAAGTAGTGCTAAGAGGAAAGTTCATAACAAAAAGTGCCTTGATAAAAAATTGGAGGGAAGAACTGTTCATTGGTGAGAGTGGGATACTGAAGTTTTCCACTGTTAACGTGTTAGTTTTGCTGTGTGATTTAAGTTTAGTAATGTTTCTTTCCCAAATGTGGTTTTCCTGAGTATGAAAGTGCCCTTCTGTGGGAAAACTCGGCAAATTGAGGTTGAAGTTCACAATGAATGGATACCCTCTGGCCTCAGTGCCATATGGGAAACTCCCTTCAAGTGGGGCTTCTCCTTCTCTGACCTTGTCTGGGGAATTCTAAGCCCCTACGCATACTTCTACATGAGGAATGTCACATAGCCATAGTTAGATGACAGGATCAATTTCCTTTCTCCTCATAAGAACGTATTCAGCTAACATCTGAGATTCCCAAAATATTTCCCCATGTTAATGAGGTACCCTAAGTTGTCAGCCAATAAACTTTGCCAATCCTGGATCAGTTTCCCCAAACTTTATAAGCCCTGAATCATTCTAAATAAAGTTGATTTGCCTTCTGATAGCTGGTCCCAGTGTGGTCACTCACTGTAAGTGCTCACGGGGATTCTGAAACCCGCCCCATCTCTATTGTTTCTGCTGCCATTGCCCTTGTGGACCATATCGGCCGATGGTTCATGAGATTGAGGAGACCCACATCCTTCCTCATCTTGTTTGATTAATGCTGGTAGAAAGTGTATTTTGTTAGACATTAGAACAACTACAGTTCTAACAGCTACAATTGGTTCTTTGGTCTATTTGCTTGGAGAATGGTTTTCCAACCCTTTACTCTGAAGTAATGTTGATCTTTGATGTTCAGACATATTTCTTGTATGGAGGGGAAGAATGGATCCTGCTTTCACACTCACTTTGTTAACCTGTGCTTTTTTATTAGGGGAATTGAGTCCATTGATATTGAGAGATATTAATGACTGGTAATTTTAATGATTGGTAATTTCAATTATTTTGGTGCTGGTGTGTGTGTGTGTGTGTGTGTGTGTGTGTGTGTATGTGTCTTCTTTTTAGGTTTTGTTGGTGTTATATTTTTTATTGCCTCTATTTTTATGGGTCTAGTGAACCTTCTTGGGTTAGAGTTTTTCTTCTAGTACTTTCTGTCAGGCTGGAGTTGTTCAAAATTGACTTTGTCATGGAATATCCTGATTTCTCCATTTGTGGTGATTGAAAGTTTTGGTGGGTGTAGTAGATTGGGCTGGCATCTATGGTCTCTTAGAGACAGTCAAGGCCCTTCTTTCTTTTAGAGTCTTCACTGAGAAGTCTGGTGTAATTCCAATAGGCCTGCCTTCATCTGTCACTTGGCCTCTTCCCTTGCAGCTTTTAATATTATTCTTTGTTCTGTATGTTTAGTGTTTTGATTATTATTACTTTATCCAGAAGTCTTTACTTATGTTTTATCCCAGATTTTTATCTCAACAGTTTTCTCTGGCCCTGCAAACTAGGCAACATCCACCTTAAATTTTCAAACTTACTTTTAATTAAAATATAATTGCATAGTTTTCCCCATCTCTATAACCCCTAACCCCCTCTATGTCCCTCCTTTTTATGATCACTTTCAAATCCATGGCCTTTTTTTGAAATTATTGATGCACACAACACAACTTGCTGTTTAATGTTTAGTGTTGCTTATATGTATGTGCTTTCAGAGATTGCTGAATGATATTGGATAACCAATTAAGAGGCTCATCTCTGGGGAAAACAAATTCCTCTCTCAGCAGTCATTAAATACTTGTAACTCTTTGTCTAGGAATGGCACCCTGTGAGATTTCCTCAGCCAAGCTGGGATGTCAACTAATGTTTCTGTTCAGGAGATGTTTAAGTAGCCATATTTTTGATGTATCATGTGTGTAGCTTCCCTGTTATATCAACGTTTGATTCTTCTCATCCCTGTTTGCTTTGTGCAATGAATTTACTCCTGTCTCTTGGATCTCAGTGGAAGTATCTCTTCCCTGTCATCCCAGGGAGTGCATCTCTGATCTCACCTGTCTCTTGAGATTCATATGCTCAGCTCCTCACATTAATTGCTGTCTTGCTGCCATTATATTGGACAATTCTTTTCTCAACATCACTTTTCTCTCCCATCCTTTACCTTCAAATGGAAGAAGCTGTGTTCTTGTATAACTCAAAACATGGGATCACAGAGGGCATCTCTAGAAGATATTGAAAAGGGTGAAAGAATGAGTCAAGGGAGGAGAGCAGACTAGAGAGTGTTGGTCTGAGGGCACATAATCTCACTTACTCATACATAAGGACAGGAGGCTTATTGTGTGTTATGATTAGCATCTACACATTTGTAAGCTTGGAAACTGATAAGGGCAGGTGTGGTACATAATCCATGTTATCTTCACAAAAAGGTAAATTCATATGTTTTAAATTTGTCTCTTGACATAAGTATATATAACTATCATTATATGGGTGTGCTCCTACGTCTAGATAGTTTGAAGTAAGTTGGCTTCTAAAGCTTCAATAACAGAATGGAAAGAAGGTGGAGATAAAGGGAGAGAATGCAGATGTCTCTGGAGTAAGCAGGGGCAGTGGGCTTTGCAGCAGACATGTCTAGACTGTTGTTTTGTGATTGCCTTGGATCGATCTTTACCAGACACAACATGTGTTCAACAAAGTCCTCATTGCCAGGTGATGCATATTAATGTGCACAGAAAGTGGAGATATTATAATGCTGGCGTTCAACCATATATAGAGAACTCTAAATTTGGTAAGAAAAAGAAATGGTGTGCCTAAATTGCTTTTTGTTATGGTACTGTCCTTACTGTGTATCCTGAGAGTCCTGTTCTGTTCTTTTCTAGGATCTCTGTCTGATATCACCATCTGTGCTGAGCCAGGTCCTGTGATCTTTCAAGGGAGTTTTGTAACTGTTGTGTGCTCAAAGTCTGGTAACTATGACAAAGTCCGCCTAGAGAAGGACGGCAACACCTTTATGGAAAAGGATTCTGAGCCATCTATGAGAGAGGATAGATTCCACATTGGGCCAGTGAATAAAACCATTACTGGACATTATCACTGTATTTATAGGAACGAGAACACCTGGTCCAATCGCAGTGAGAAGCTGGAGCTAAAGGTGACCAAAGAACATGTCACCCAGGTTCCTTCCCCAGGTCCAACAATGACCTCAGGTTTGTTCTTAGAACCCTGGATTCTAACCATAGCTGTTATTCTCTTCCTCCATTTCCTTTGTTTTTTCTTAACCCCAAGGCTCCTTTCCCCCACCTCCATCATCACATGTCCCCCTTTAATCTAACACTTCAGGTTCCCTGGAGCTTTACTCTTCCTAGACACCATGAATGACTTGGATACAGCTACAGTCTGAGGGGTAGAGTACACAGATGTCGCTTCTTACTGGATAGCAACTGAGCCTCAGCAGTGACAGGGGCAGTCTGCTCTCAAGGTGATTTATGTCTTTTCACTGGGCACAGTAAATTATCCTGTCCTTCTACCAAGTCAGAGCCTGTCATGGCTGCAGGAAATCATCTCCTCTAGTAAGGTCCCATCTTCCTAGACAGGTAATGTGATTCATCAATGGCTGGTGGGCAGCCCAGGACCATTGTTCTGGGGGTGCTTTCCAGGAGTTACTTAGTACTGATTCTGTGAGGCCAAGCAGAGCAAATGAGGAAAGAACAGAAGGAAGGATCCCAAACTACCCCCCAGCAGGGGGGATTGAGAAGGGACTCTGACAGGTTTCCTGTTTTCCCTGTCCTGTCCTTTCAGGTGTTTCTCATATTCTGTGACTGAGTGATTGACAATTCACTCACCTTGGTTCAATACATAGGATGGAGAAGAGGTCTACAAAGCCCCTCTGATAAGCTCTCAATCCTTCACCCTGCCTCTTTGCTGGTGCAGTAGTTTATTAGAGTTTATATATATATGTTGGGTTGATGTCACAAGAAGCCTTTTGCTTATCTTTGGAACCAGACACCAGGATGTCATTGATAATATTTATTTTGTTTAATTATTTTGTTTTTGAGACTGTTTCTACATAATGCTGGCTGACCTGTAACTTGCTACATAGACCAAGCTAACCTTGAACTCACAGAGATCCTCCTGCCCAAGCCTCCTGAGTTCTGGGATTAAAGGACTATGCCAGCATGCCCATGCCCAGGGATCCTACTATTTTTGTTTGTTTGTTTTTAACATGTATTATATTCACATTGTTCTGTCTGCATGTATGCCTGCATGTGGGAAGAGGGCACCAGATCTAATTATGTATGGTTATGAGCCACCATGTGGTTGCTGGGAATTGAATTTAGGGTTTCTGGAAAAGCAGCCATTGCTCTCAACCTCTGGGCCATCTCTCCAGCCTCCTACTATCTTAAATACGAAGAAAATTAACTTTTGGTCAAAGACACCAAGTTCTGAAGACTCTGGGAAGAAGCAGAAGCAGTCTCCACAATAACAGCCAGACCACTGTTTGCACAGCTCTATGCTACCCCCTTGTGGTCTGTGTCTCATTGTACACATTGTGTGACCAAGACCATTAGGGCCCAACTTGAACCAGTTTAGTCTCTATCAAAAACAAGGGAACTTTCTCCGTGTCTGTACTAGACAAAATGGGAAGACTTTATGAGAGGAAAGTGCCACGGGAAGGCCTGTGAACAATAGTCAATCTGGGGTGCTGTGTGATGTTGAATAAGCTTTTCTCACTCCTCCTGTCTCAGGCTGCTGGGCTGTATTACCCACTAGGTGCTGCTGCCCTTTGGCCACAACCTCTCTGGGAGGAGATGTGGTCCTGAGTCTTCTATGCTCATTCTGATCTAGGCTGTGTCAGTGTAAAGCTCCTAGCTCTGGCAGGCCAATTGTGGACAGAAACACAGGGTATGGGAAAATAGAGGGGACCAAGATAGTGCTGTTTTGTTCAGAGCCTATTATGTGCCATTATGGTGGGACCATTCATGATGTGTTTCCCAGATGAACATACCTGGGTCACCATCCTATCTTTGAATTTATTAATAAATATCCTCTCATTTGAAATGCATTGGTCTGAAAGTGAGTTAAACTAAACACTTTTGGAGGTGGAAGAGAAATGCTCCAGCCCTTCTGAGCATTGATGGAGAGATAGGGCAAATCAAAGAAACACATTAAAATTTCAGATCTAAAACTAAATTTATATTGAATCATATAAATTTGTATGAATTATATAAACACATAAGCAATATTATTGGTGTAACAGTATAATGTACCTTTTAAAATTACATGTTATTCTTCAGTTTTAATTGGTTATTTTATTTATTTACATTTCAAATGCTGTGTCCCTTCCCAGTCTCCCCTCTTTAAACCCCCTATCCCATTTTCCCTCCCCTTTGCCTCTAAGAGGGTGCTCACCACCCACCCACCCACCCACTCTGGCTTCACCCCTCTAGAATCCCCCGATACTGGGGCAGCAAGCCTCCATAGGACCAAGGGCCTACCTCCCATTGATGCCAGATAAGGCAATACTCTGCTACATATGTAGCTGGAGTTATAGACCCATCCATGTATATTTTTTGGTTGGTGGTTTGTTCCTGGAAGCTCTGGGGGAGGGGGGGCAGTCAGGTTAGTTGATATTGCTGTTCTTCCTATGGGATTGCAATCTCCTTCAGCTCCATTAGTCCTTCTTTTAACTCTTCTACTGGGGTCCCCTGGCTCAGTCTGATGATTGGCTGTGAGTATCTGCATGTGTCTTAGTCAGATGCTGGCAGAGCCTCTCAGAGGACAACCATACTAGGCTCCTGGGAGCACTTCTTGGTATCAGCAATAGTTTCTGGGCTTGGTGTCTGCAGGTGGGATGGATTCGAAGGTACGTCGGCCTCTGTATGGCCTTTCATTCAGTCTCTGTTCCATTTTGTTCTTGCATTTCCTTTACACAGAAACAATTCTGGGTTAAACGTTTTTGAGATTGGTAGGTGGCCCTGTCCCTCAATTGGTGCCCATGCCTGTTTACTGGAGGCGGTCTCTTCAGATTCTATCTCCCCTCTCTTGGGTATTTCAGTTAGTGTCATTCCCATTGGTCCTGCGAACCTCTCCATTCACTGGCATCTGTAATTTTCTAGTGTTCCTCCCACTCCCACTTCCCTACCCTGCACTGCTACATATTTCTTTTCATTCACCTGCTCCCCTGGACTTCTCTCCTGTCTCTTCCTATACCTGATCCTGCTCCCCCTTTTCCCTCCCCCTATTCTCCCCCTCTCAGGTCTCTCCCTCCCTCTATTTCCCATGATTATTTTGTTCCTCCTAAGTAGGATCGAAGCGTCCACACTTTGGTCTTCCTTCTTGTAAAGCTTGATATAATCTGTGAGTTGTATTGTGGGTATTCTGAGATTTTAGGCTAATATCCACTTACCAGTGAGTACATACCATGTGTGTCCTTTTGAGTCTGGGTTACCTCACTCAAGATGATATTTTCTAGTTTTAGGAATTTGCCTTGAAAATTCATGAAGTCATTGTTTTATAATAACTGAGTAGTACTCCATTGTGTAAACATACAGCATTTTCTGTGTCCATTCTTCCTTTGAGGGATATCTGGGTTGTTTCCAATACTGGCTATTATAAATAAGGCTGCTATGAACATAGTGGAGCATGTGTCTTTGTTATATGTTGGAACATCTTTTGGATATAAGCCAGGTGTGGGACTGCCCTGAGTTTTACGGGGTGTACTTCCAGATCCATCCATCATCTGCCATGACAATAAACCCTTTTGGAACCAAGGACTTCTTCGTGTCATTGGGGCCTGCCACCACCAAAGCCTCCAGGCCACTGGAACCATAGACCTCATCCCGCCTGTGGGACCCGTCACAGCGTGTGGAAGCCTCCCCAGGACCCCACCACTGCAGAGGCCTCTAAATTTTTCCCCACAGCCAGGTAGTGGTATATCTGGTTCTTTAGATAGAACTATTTCCAGTTTTCTGAGGAACTTCTAGATTGATTTCCAAAGTGCTTGTACCAGTCTGCAATCCCACTAGCAATGGAGGATTGTTCTTCTTTCTACATATCCTTATCAGCATCTATTATCACCTGAGGTTTTGATCTTAGCCATTCTGATTGTTGTGATGTGGAATCTCAGGATCATTTTGATTTGCATTTCCTTGATTAATAAGAATGTTGAATATTTCTTTAGGTGATTTTCTGCCATTTGATATTCCTCAGTTGAGAATTCTTTGTTTAGCTCTGTACCTCATTTTAAAAATATAGTTATTTGGTTCTCTGGAGTCTAACTTCTTGAGTTCTATATACTTTGGATATTAGCCCTCTATCAGATGTAGAGTTGGTAAAGATCTTTTCCAAATTTTTAGGTTATTGTTTTGTGCTATGGATAGTGTCCTTTGCCTTACAGAAACTTTTCAATTTTATGAGGTCCCTTTTGTCAATTGTTCATCTTAGAACCTGAGCCAGTGGTGTTCTGTTGAAGAAATTTTTCCCTGTGCTGATGTGTTCAAGGCTTTTTCCCACTTTCTCTTCTATTAGATTCAGTGTATATGGTTTTATGTGGAGGTTCTTGTTCCACTTGGACTTAATCTTTGTACAAGGAGATAAGAATGGATCAATTTGCATTCTTCTAAATGCAGACCATCAGTTGGATAAGTACCATTTGTTGAAAGTTCTTTCATCACTGGATGGTTTTGGCTTATTTGTCAAACATGATGTGACCATAGATGTGTGTGCTTATTTCTGGGTCTTAAGTTCTATTTTATTGATCTACCTGTCTGTCTCTGTACCAATACTATGCAGTTTTTTTTATCACTATTGCTCAGCTTGAGTAGTACAGCTTGAGGTTAGGGATGGTGATTCCTCTAGAAGTTTTTTTATTGTTGAGAATGATTTTTGCTATCCTGGGTTTTTTATTATTCCAGATGTTAAGAATTTCCCTTTCTATTTCGTATAGAATTGAATTGGAATTTTTATGAGGATTTCATTGAATCTGTAGATTGCTTTTGGTAAAATAGCCATTTTTACTATGTTAATCCTATAGGTCCATGAGCATGGGAGATCTTTCTATTTTCTGAGGTCTTTGATTTCTTTCTTCAGAGACTTGAAGTTCTTGTCATACAAATCTTTCAGTTGCTTGGTTAGAGTTACACCAAGATATTTTATATTATTTGTGACTACTGAGAAGGGTGTTTCCCTAATTTCTTTCTCAGACTGTTTACCCTTTGAGTAGAGGAAGGCTACTGATTTGTTTAAAGTTGTTTATCAGCTGTAGGATTTCTCTGGTGGAATTTTTGGGGTCGCTTATTATACTATCATATTATCTTCAAATAGTGATATTTTGACTTCTTCCTTTCCAATTCATATCACTTTGACCTCCTTTTGTTGCCTAATTGATCTAGCTAGAACTTCTAGTACTATATTGAATAAATAGGGAGAGAATGGGCAGCCTTGTCTTGTCTCTGATTTTAGTGGGATTGCTTCAAGTTTATCTCCATCTAATTTGATGTTGGCTATTTGTTTGCTGTATATTTCTTTTATTATGTTTAGGTATGTGTCTTGAATTACTGACCTTTCCAAGACTTTTTAACATGAAAGGGTTTTGTATTTTGTCAAAGACTTTTTCAACATCTAATAAAATGATCATGTGTATTTTTCCTTTGAGTTTGTGTATATAGTGGATTGCATTGATGGAATTCTGTATATTGAGCTATCCTTGCATCCCTGGGATGAAGCCTACTTGATCATGGTGAATGATCATTTTGATGTGTTCTTGGATTCAGTTTCCAAGAATTTTATTAAGTATTTTTGTATTGATATTTATAAGGGAAATTGGTCTGAAGTTCTCTTTCTTTGTTGGGTCTTTGTGTGGTTTAGGTATCAGAGTAATCGGGGCTTCATAGAACAAATTAGGTAGTACTCCTTCTGTCTCTATTTTGTGGAATGCTTTGAGAAGTATTGGTATTAAGTCTTTTTTGAAGATCTGATAGAATTTTGCACTAAATCCTACTCTTCTTGGATGTATTTGCTTCCTTTTGTTCTAGAGATTTCAGATATGCTGTTAAACTGCTAGTGTATGGTCTGCCCAATTTCTTTATTAAGGTGCTCAACATTGTGTGTTTCCTTCTTAGTACTGCTTTCATTGTGCTCTATTAAGTTTGAGTCTGCTGAGCCTTCGCTTTCATTAAATTCTAGAAAGTCTTTAATTTCTTTTTTCCCCCTGACCAAGTTATCATTGAGTAGAATGTTGTTCAGCTTCCATTTGTACGTGGGCTTTCTGTTGTTTTTGTTGTTACTGAAGACCAGCCTTAGGCCATGGTGATCTGATAGGATGCATGGGATCATTTCAATCTTCTTGTATCGGTTAGGCTTGTTTTGTGACTGATTATAAGGTCAGTTTTGGGGAAGGTACCATGAGGTACTAAGAACAAGGTGTACTCTTTTGTTTTAGGGTGAAATGTTCTGTAGATAAGTGTTAAACACATTTGATTCATAATTTCTATTAGATTCACTATGTCTCTGTTTAGTTTCTGTGTCAATCACCTGTCCGTTAGTGAGAGTGGGGTGCCAAAGTCTCCCACTATTATTATGTGAGGCACAATGTGTCCTTTGAGCTTTAGTAAAGTTTCTTTTATGAATGTGAGTGCCCTTGAATTTGGGGTATAGATATTCAGAATTGAGACTTTCTCTTGGTGGATTTTTTCGTTGATAAATATGAAGTGTCCTTCCTTATCATTTTTGATAACTTTTGGGTTAAAATTTGATTTTATTCGATATTAGAATGGCTACTCCAGCTTTTTCCTTGGGATCATTTCTTGGAAAAATGTTCCAGCCTTTTACTCTGAAGTAGTGTCTGTCTTTGTCATTGATGTATATGTGATTCCTATATGCAGCAAAATGATGGGTCCTGCTTATGTATCCAGTCTGTTAGCCTATGTCTTTTTATTGGGGGAATTGAGTCCATTGTTGTTGAGTGATATTAAGGACCAATGATTGTTACTTTCTGTTATTTTGTTGTTAGAGGTAGAATTGAGTTTTTGTGATTCTCTTCTTTTGGGTTTGTTGTGAGTAGCTTAATTTCTTGTTTGTTTTTTTTTTCCCTCCTTGTGTTCAAGTTTTCCTTCTATTATCCTCTGTAGGGCTGGTTTAGTGGAAAGTTATTGTTTAAATTTGTTTTTGTCATGGAACATCTTTTTTTCTTTATCTATGATATTTGATAGTTTTGCTGGGTATAGTATCCTGGGCTGACATTTTTTCTTTTACATTCTGTATGACATCTGCCCAAGAGCTTCTGGCCTTTAGGGTCTCTGTTGAGAAGTCTGGTGTAATTCTGATTGTTCTGCTTTTATATGTTTCTTGACCCTTTCCTCTTATCACTTTTAATATTCTTAGATCGGTGTGTTTGGTTTTTGATTTTCATGTGTCAGAATGAATTTCTTTTCTGAACCAATCTATTTGGTGTTCTGTAGGCTTTTTGTAAATTTATGGACATTTTTTTTTTATGCCAGGGATTTTTTTCTTCTAGAATTTTGTTGAAGGTATTTACTGGCCCTTTGAAGTGGGAATCTTCACTCTCTTCTATACCTATTATTCTTAGATTTGGTCTTTTCTTTGTGTTCTGAATTTCTTGGATGGTTTCTGTTAGGAGCTTTTTGCACTTTGTATTTTCTTTGACTGCTTTTTCAATATTTTCTATGGCATCTTTTACAACTGAGATTCTCTTATCTACCTCTTTCACGCTGTTGGTGACGCTTGCATCTGTGACTCCTGATCACTTTCATAGGTTTTCCATCTCCAGGGTTGTCTCTGTTTGTAATTATTTATTGTTTCTATTTACATTTTTAGATCCTGGATGGTTTTGTTCAATTCCTTCATCTTTTTAATTGTGTTTTCCCATATTTCTTTAAGAAATTTATGTGATTCTGCTTTAGGGGCTTCTACTTATTTACCTGTGTTCTCCTGTATTTCTTTAATGGATTTATTTATGCCCCCCTTAAGGTCTTTTATCATCTTCATGAGATGGGATTTTAGATCTGAATCTTGATTTTTCTGGTGTGTTAGGGTATCCAGGGCTTGCTGTGGTGGGAAAGCTTGCTTCTGGTGGTGCCAAATGGAATTGGTTTCTGTTGCTTATGTTCTTGTACTTGCCTCTTGCCATCTGGTTATCTCAGGTGTTAACTGGCCTTGCTGTCTCTGACTGGAGACTGTCCCTCCTGTGTGCCTGGTTGTGTTGGGCCTCCTTGGGTCAGGGGGTCTCTGGGTGTGGGAGACGGTCTGGACAACCTCATATGTGAGTCTAGCTATGATATTCCCCTTGGGAGTCAAGCTGATTCTAGATGTGGGCAGGGTTTGGGGTGCTGGAGCACACGATCTGCTCCCAGTGCAGTTTTGGACTGGAAGGAAGATGTGTCTCTGGCAAGGTGGGAGGTCCTGAGTCTTCTGGGCTCTGAAGGGTCCCAGTTAGGCTAGATATTGGGATGGTGGGAGAACTCACCTGTGAACCTAGTGGTGTCAGAACTCCTGGGGGTCAAGTTGTCTCTGGGTGTGGGTGGCTTGTGGGGGGCGGGCTGGAATACATGATATGCTCCCAGGCACAGTTGCAGACTGGAAGAAGCATAATGTATCTTTATACATAAGTATAATGCATGGCATTCCATTTTGAATATGCTATTAAATATTTGCAGTATATAAATAAACATACTATTTATTACTGTAACCCACATGTAGGTAAACACCATTTATTATGATAGCTTTGTATAATTTATGTCCTTGAAAGATTACATTCAGTATTAAATGGCATAAGTTATTTATATACTAATTTATGTCATAGAAGTTAGCTGTAATGTGCTGTTCTCTTTCTAGCTCCAAACTCCTGGAATAACAACTCAGACTCAAATATATATTTTCAAGTACTGAGGCCATATAGCTAGGTTCATTCCCTCACTAGCTAATGATTTAGAATAACCCATTTGTACTAATCTAAATTCTGCCACATGGATGGTTGCCATACATCTGTCCTCCTCACATCTTCCCTGTGACTCTGCACTTGTCTCTAGCAAAGAATTCTTTCTGCCTCAAGGATGCCCCACCTTCTATTCTACCTTTTCCTATAGGCCATAGTTTTTAAAAATGATTTTTATTTATTTATTGTATAGATATAAGTACATTGTAGTTGTCTTCAGACACACGAGAATGCATTGGATCCATTACAGATGGTTGTAAGCTACCATGTGGTTGCTTGGAATTGAACTCAGGACCTCTGAAAAAGCAGTCAGTGCTATTACCTTCTGAGACATCTCTCCAGCCTGGCCATAGGTTTTTTTTAATTGACAGATGATGCATCCATACAATACCCAAGATATTCTTTCTACAGTTGGCATATAATTTTATTTTATATTTTCTTATTATTTTTTATTTACCTAGATACGTGTGTTATGTACATAGGTGTGCTCACTGTGTTGGCATGCATGTGGGTACAGGCGAATATATATGTATATGTATATATATGCTATACACACACACACACACACACACACACACACATATATATATATGCAGGTATATGTGTGTAAGTCCACAACTGATGCTAGACTTATTATTTAAGTGTTCTCCACCTTCCACATTGAGGTATAATCTCTGACCCCAGAATTTACTGTTTCAGCTAGTCTGGGTAGACAGTTTGCTCAGGGATTTTTTGGTCTTTTCCCCATTGCATTGAGATTATAGGTGGGCATTCACATCCAGTTAACTCTTTCTGTGGGCTCTGGGAATTCAAACTCTGGTTCTCACGCTTGTATATCAAATGTTTTACTCATTGAGCCATATCCATAGCACATTAGCTGTGTGTATTTACATTACATGTGAATGTGCAGCCATGGGTCACTTAATGCTGCTTTGTTCTGGAACTTGTGACCATAGACAAAGTGGCCATGTGTTCTGAGAAATGCATAACTGGTAGCCATTGTATCATTGTGGGAACAAGATGGTACTGATAGCAGCTTATAAGACACAGTCCTTTGCACACCTGGCCATATGGCATATAGAGTAAGCAACTTTTAGACTGTAGTCCTGAAGAAATGTTACACCAAATGCTGCAGGCAACCAAGTCTCCATGACAGGTACAGTGCCACTAGGGCATAGAAAGATTTTTAGCTCAGTTATAATCTTACTGCAAGTCCATGGTTAATTGTAATATCATTGCACATCATGGGTGACTCCATTTGCATATGTAATATATAATTATAAATATATCATGTGCATGCATATGACATGTATAATTTGTGATATGGTATGTGGAAAAGACAGAATAGAATGTATGGTTTTGAGTTGGACATAGGCAAGAGGTTGAGGGAACAGCCTCTACAGAGACATTGTTTGACTTTCATTAAAGGATATTGTAGATTACTGTCCTACAATTCTACCTCAGGAACAAGGGATGGGAGTGGGTACCATACATGAAGAGAGAGCAGGTGGAATCCATCTTGTGTGGTCACCTCTATAGTGGAGAAGGGTGTATTTAAGGAAGAGGATGAGATGGGCACTGTCTTCAGGGCATCAGGCAACAGGACAACATTGGGACTGAGTTCATTTCTGTCAGGAGCTACCCTGAGGAACAAACAAGATGGGGATTATTAACCTCAGTTGGAGAGAGTCCAAGGTGGGTTTCCTGAGGGAGTCCTGTTTCTTTTCTTCTTGGTTGTCAGTCTCTACAAGGCTCTACAGGGTGTAGTAGACAATGCTGTTTTACTTGATGTCAATCATGAAGTTAGTGCTCTTAGCTGTGGGAACCCGAATGGATGTCATTAGCCACATCTGACTTCTCAGTCCTTAAAATGGCCCTGTGAGTGGCTAGCATGCCCCAGAGCACAAAGCAAGTCAACACTTATGACAGGTAACACAAGGATACTGATTACATGTTTCAAGATCATGGAACACGTAAAATTTTACATAGTCACATTCTCATGGAAAATTTTACATAGTGACATGCTCATGAGTACTACCCAACATATGTGTGTTACTCGGAAGGTACTCAATAAATGTATGCTGATGATAACCTGTTTCCCATCTTTCCTAGATACATCTTGGCCAAAGGCATACAGCATTTATATCCTTACTGTGGCTTCTGTGATTTTCCTCCTTTGTCTTTCTTTTTTTCTCTTCTGCTTCCTTAGTCACCGTCAGAAAAAACAAGGTAGGTATCTGTGGTGAGAGCTGGCTTTCAGGGGCTGGTGGGCATGTTGGGAACAAGAAATCCCTCCTAAATGTGGACTACTGACTATTCTCAGGACTCCCCCAAAACAAGAGACAGCAGCAGAGCCCACAGGAGAGGTGAGACCCCTGGAATGACTCCCATTCCATTGCCCAGTCCTTTGCCTCCAACCGGTCTCTAATGTTCATCTATCCTTTCTGCTCAGGCTCAGCCTAGCTAATAATGGCCTGGAGATGACACCAGGTAAGGTATCTCAGGAACAATGGAGGGGTTACCCAGAATATTGGGAGCCAACATGGACAAAACCATCTAAAAACATTCTAGAGGGCGGTGGTATGATATAATGTGGTAATAATTGTCTTCTAGTGTCCACCAATGAGTACTTATCCTGTGGTGTCTTTTCTATAGACATAGTTGCAGATGACAGGCTTCCTGAGGACAGACAGACAGAAATCTGGGTAGGTATTTGTATTCAGTATCTAGTGCTAACAAAACTGCTTCCAAATTTAGCAGCTTAGTAACATGTCTTCAATCTCTTGGATAGGAATCTAGGGGCAGAAGAATTAAAAAAAGTATTGACTGCAGCTACTGTCACCTCAGACCTAGTGGATAGAGGATCCTTGTGCTGAGTGGCACATCCTAATGGCCACAAGGCTCTCCATAGCATCTGACTTTCCCCAGAGAGAACATCCAAGATAAGGGAGGGCAGAAGCTACTTTTGCCATGTCTCTGGGCCATGTAATCCAATCCCAACACCTTTGGTAGAGAATCACAGCGCAACACAGCTATGACTCATAGAGAAGGTTAGCTTCTCACTCTACAGCTCTTCCCCTCTTCTCAGCTACTTTAACTCTCCTAGGCCCTCTCTCCCAGACCCCAGTTGCAGGAGACCTTCAGGAGGTGACATATGCCCAGTTGGACCATCACTCCCTCACACAGAGGGCAGTTGGAGCTGTGACCCCACAGAGCACAGATATCATGACTGAGTCCAGCACATATGCAGCCATCATCAGACCCTAAGCCTGGACACACCTGGAGACATACACCATCACTATTGGAAAAGCCGGAAGAAGCCACCAAGGCTTTCTCTTGGGATCAGCTTGGTGTGGAAAGCTAGGTCCCTGTTCCCCATCCAGGAGTTGAATTGTATATGTGGTAGTGTCGGCCCTTGGAAAGACTATATTGCAGTAACTTTCAGAGCCCTAGTTACATTCACTCGGCTGTTTCCAGAGACACAGTTACAGCTCTAGCTGTTTCTTCAGACCCATGCACATCCCACATCATTTAATGAGCAGCACTGTAATTGTCCAGCTATCTTTACATCCCCAGTTGTGTGATGAGCCCAGTGAACCCTATAGGCTTCCTTGGATCTCCTTGCTGACTCTGACTGGGATGTACTCATGTAGCTGAAAGCTGAGTCCCTTTTCTGTGCCAGACCTTATGGAGTGCATCATGAGCATCTACAGTCCAGGTGGGTCTTGGACATACAGACTGTAAGGACTCAAACTCTGTTTTCAGTTGTTCAGAGATGAGTGGAGAAATGAGGGCTACAAAAGGGTGCATATGATTTCCTTTTCTTTAAAATTTATGTTTAATTGACCAAGACTGTGCACATCCAAGTGTGAACTATCAGAACTTGATGTGACATTGTATGTGTAGCCATTACTACAAACACTCAACACTACTGCCACCTCCCACTGGATTACCTGAACATGTTCACTGATGATTGAACTTCGGGTTGGTGTTTTTTTGATGGTGTGTGTTGATCAGGAATGGAAGAAAAAGGAGCAGTGAAAGGGAAAGGTAGGCTGATGGTGGGTAGAGGAAGGTGTTCTATCTATACACATGTGGGACTGCGTAAGAGTATCCTGGGTCATGGTTGAGCAGGTGCCTAGAACCCCGAGACTCTGCAGACTCTGGGTGGGATTCTACCTGAGAACCGGCAGGAGTTTGGCGCCCCCCAGAACCCAGGATCCTGAAAAGCAGTCACAGTTTCCATAGAATTACATTGTTCAGTCACATAGGCCAGGCTATAGGCCTCAAGCCCTAGGGATTTACATGCTAATGAAGGCCAGAAGGCAGAGCAAATTAAACATGCTTCCCCCAGATCCTTCCCCAATCCTCCCCCTTTCTCCCTCCCTATATAGCTCAGGACTACCCTGAGTTTTCGGGGGGGGGGGGTACACCTAGATCCATCTATCATTCGCCATGACAATAAACCTTTTTGGAACCAAGGATTTCCTTGTGTTATTGGGGCCTGCTGCCGCCAAGGCCTCCAGGCCGCTGGAACCATAGGATTCCTCCCAAATGTGGTAGGCTCTAAATTTTCCCCACATTTTGGCGCATCCAACATGGGGCACAGACACTCACAGACTTCAAGAACCAGGCCACCCCAGTCTGCTACAGAGCGCAGCTGAGCTTCCCGCCCTGCTTGTCCGGTGCTGGGAGGAATCAACTCAGTGAAGACCCTTGTAGAGAGCAATCAATAGCTTTGGAAATAGACTTGGTTGTTTGGGGCTCCCCATGGGGCTCTTTTGGCCAACACACCAAATAGATGTAACCCATTTCCAGAGTGAGAGGCTCCATTTTTGGAGGTTTTTTTGTTTTTGTTTTTGTTTTTTTTTTTTTGTTTCATAATGCTTTGTCAAGGGTTTCTCTCTCTGTTGCTCTCTCTCTCTCTCTCTCTCTCTCTCTCTCTCTTCTTTCTTTCTTTCTTTCTTTCTTTCTTTCTTTTTTTCTTTCTTTCTTTTCACCTTTGAGTCCTTTGAGTATACATTATGGTTTCCAGCTTTGTGGTTTTCTTTTTATATTATATTACATTATATTGAATGTTTGTATTTATTTACATTCCAAATGTTGCCTCCCTTAACAGTTTCCCCTTCCAGAGTTCTTCACAACATCCACCATCCTCTTTGCCTCTGAGAGGGTGCTACCCTACCCACCCACCCACCCTATCAGTCACCTATCCCCAACTCATCTCACCAGCATCCCTCTTCCTTGGGGCATCAGGTTCTTACAGGATTAGGTGGATCTTCCCCTACTGAATCTAGATAAGGCAGTCCTCTGTTACATATGTGCCAGGAGCCACAAACCTGCTCATGTATGCTTTTTGGTTAGTGGTCTAGTCTCTGGAAGTTCCTGGGGTCCAGGTTAGTTGATACTGTTGGCCTTTCTATGGGGTTGCTATCCCCTTCAGCTCCTTCAGTTTTTCTCCTAACTCTTCCATAAGGGTCCCTGACCTCAGTCCAATGGTTGATGCTAAGTATCTATCAGTCAGCTGCTGGTAGAGCCTCTCAGAGGAAAGCCGTGCTAGAATCCTGCCTGTAAGCACAACATAGCATAAGTATAACAGTGTCAGGGTTTGGTGTCTGCCCATGGGATGGATTCTAAGTTGGTCCAGTAACTGGATGGCCTTTCCTTCAGATTCTGCTCCATTTCTGTCCCTGCATTTCTTTTAGATAGGAACAATTCTGGGTCAAAAATTTTGAGATGGATGGGTGGCCCCATCTTTCCATTGGGGACCATGTCTATCTACTGGGGGTGATTTCTTCAGGTTCCATCTCCCTACTGTTGTGCACTTTGGCTAAGGTAATCCCCACTGAGTCCTGGGAGCCTCTCACATCCCAGGTCTAGAGGTTCCCCCCAACTCCACCCCCACAGCTGCATATTTCTAGTCTTTTTTTCTGGCCCTCTGAGCTTCTCATCTGTTTCCCCCATACATGATCCTGCCCCCTTTTCCCCCTCCCCTCTCTCCTCTCACCCAGCACAAGAACTTAAGCAACAGAAGCCCATGTTATTTGACACCATCAGAATCCATTTCTCTTATCACAGCAAGCCCTGTACACTCTAACACACCAGAAGAACAAGATTTTGACCTGAAATCCCATCTTATGAAGATTATAGAAGCCTTTAAAGAGGATATAAACAATTCACTTAACATAATACAGGAAAACATAGGCAAATATGTAGAAGCCCCTAAAGAGAAAACAAATAAATCCCTTAAAAAATATCCGAAAACACAATCAAATAGGTGAAGAAATTGAACAAGATGGTCCAAGACCTAAAAATGGAAGTAGAAACAATAAAGAAATCACAAATGGAGGCAACCGTGGAGGTGGAAAACCTAGGAAAGAGACCAGGAGCTACAGATGCAAGCATAACCAATAGAATTTGATACATTTTTTTTTATTTCTACAGGCACCTAACATGCACATGGTGCACAGACGTACATGTTGGCAAAACACTCACACACAAAATAAAGTAAATAAATCTAATGCAAAATTAAAAATAAATATCACTAGGAACTGTGCTTCATAAATGAATAAATAAGTAAATAAATATGGCCTAATTTTGTAGAGGCTTGATGCCCCAGGGAGGGCAGATACCTGGGAGTTGGGAGAGGAGAGCACTGTCTCAGAGGCAAAGGGGAGGAGGAGGGGTAAAGACCACTGGGAAGGGAGACTGGGAGGGGGCAGGATTTGGAATGTAAGTAAGTAAAATAATTAATTAAAAATAGAAAATAAAAAAAATCAATAAAAGGAAAAAATCATTAAATGAAAAAACAGAAAAGAAACTTGTATACTGGTAATGTATGTGAGGAAACACTTAAAATACAACGAAGTGTCAGGTGTAATGGTGCATGTCTTTAATTGCAGCACTTGGGAGGCAGAGGCAGGCGGATCTCTGGGCCAGCCTGGCTTATATAGTGAGTTCCAGGGCTACATAGAGCCTTTTGAATGAATACGTGAATGGATGGATATCTTTGCAGGGGTCATCCGTTAGGCCATAGTTTTCTGTGTTGCTCTCCATGCTGCATAGCCCTCTCCCGGACTGTGGGAACACAAGGAATCATTTTCAAGTCACTAAAGAAGGCAGGTCTAAAGGTCCCCAGATGCAGGATGTCTGGCTCTCCTGAACCAGTCAGGCTGTGCTTCTTTTTCTGGGAGCCTCTATTCATGCTCAGAGGTAGGTGTCCAGCCCCAAAATGTTTTATGCGTGCTAAGTGTTCCTGTTTTTGTTGAACCCCATTCTTAATTTCTCTGCGAATTTGCTTTCCAACCCTGCTTTTTTTCTTCATATTATTCTAAGATATCAGCCTGTATCACAATATCTATCTCTTCTCCATATCTGTGTCTTTTATTAGTTTTCAACATGATCTCCATGGGATCTCCCAAAGTCATGTGGGCAGAAGTGCCCAGGTGGCAGAGTGGCTCTTAGAAGAGACAGCAGCATGGACCCCTGAACTCACAACTCCAACCAGTCCACAAACACTGGGTAGAACCATGTCTCATTCAGCATGATCAGTGCAAGTAGCAAGGTTGCTGGGGAAGGCAGGACAGAAATTATACATAAGACTTTTTTTTTCTCTTTTTGAGGTAAGAAGGAAAGCAGGAGGAGCAGAGACAGGCCATAAAAACAAAACAAACTTGGTTTTGACCTTTCTCCAACCTCCATCCTCTTGACATATGTAACTGCTGGGTCTGTCATGGTACATAAGGAGGGGTGTGACACAATTCCTGCCCCTGGAGCATCGCCAGGCCACTGATTCTCATTATCCCCATGTGCCATAATGGTTGTTGTTGCCCTGAGGCTGATCTGATATCTTTACTACTCTACTTTCAATCTTCCTTTCTGGGGGATATATTTCTCCCATTACTCGGAGCTAATGAAGAAAATGAAGGAAACATCTGTAAATGAAACACATGCAGTTCTTAGGTATGAGGGATTGAGATGGTCATGAGGCTGTGGAGGATGTGGAATAGGCCTTCCCTTTGGCCTTTAGGGCCATGGGAAAGGGTCTAGACAAAAATCAATAAAGGAAAAAAAATCATTAAATAAAAAGAGTAGAAAAGCAATGTGCATACTGGTAATGTATGTGAAAAAAAAACACTTAAAATACAACAAAGTGTCAGATGTAGTGGTGCATGTCTTTAATTGCAGCACTTAGGAGGCAGAGGGAGGTGGATCTCTGGGCCAGCCTGGCTTATATAGAGAGTTACACATATAACCACAAAGGCCATAAAAGCCTACATGGTCCTTTGTAGAAATAGTTCATTGCCAGATTTGGCCTTGAATTTGAAAGCATGAAGAAATAGATGTACCCTCTCATCCAATGAGTGCTGCATTAATTATCCAGGGTGAACTTGGGAACATCAAGGATACAGAGTTAAAGTAGTCTCATGAAGAGAAGGTATGGATAGAAAAATAGGAAATTATATATGATTTAGGAGCAAATATTATTAAAAGAGACTACACAAGGCTATGGAATTGCTAGGATGAAGAAATGAAGATTAGAGAATTAAAAGATGATATAGAAACATAGAAAAAGTTAAAGCTTTGTTCTCCTAGCTATTCAAAGAATTGGAGATAATGCCTAGAAAGATATTAGAGAGAGCTAACGTCTTTACTTACATACATTTTAAAACTTTGTAAGGAATCATTTTAACTTTAGTAGTCTGTCATCTTTCTGTTTTTACATGAGAATAGTTACTAAAGACTGCTGTCTGCTTTACCGGGAAACTGCGAGAGCTACCCGTGAAGAACAGGCTGTGAAAACCTATAAGGAAATGTGGTTTTGCTTTGTGCTAAGTTTCGGCTCTAAGGAAATGGGGGGTTGGGACTAGTAATTTAGGATTCATAAAATTTATGTACATTTAAGAGTTTTTGAAAATTATTAACAATGATGTAATTAAAAAATAAAAGACTGGTTCAGGTTCTCTGAATGTATTCAG